TGCTTCCAGTAAATGTTAAGCTCATCGACAACAAGCTTAATGGCTCCAACTACTTTGAGTGGAGCAAAACTATTCGTATCTATAGTGTTTGTAAGTCCTTTCATCATGGAGAACAACATGACTGATCACTCGATACGTATGTCATGGAGTTCAAGAAAGTGTATGAGGAGCTTAACTCTCTTATTCCATTAAGTCATGCAGAATCAAGAGGGAACAAGTGGCTGTTATCAGTTTCTTGACCGGTTTGCGACCAAAATTTGACTGTATCAGATCTTAGTTTTTGAATGAATTAGCTATTCCTTCTCTTCAAGAATTATTTGCCTGTGTTCTTAGGAATGAGAATCTTCAGGCTTCTCAAACTTCTGTTCACAACAGTGCTCTGGTTGGTCAAGGGGGATTTCGTGGTGGCTACCGAGGAGGATTTCGTGGGGGTCCCCGTGGTGGCTCTAGTGGTGGCCACAGTGACCGAACAACTGACTCACGGGCTACTATTCTAGATTCCGATGATGTTGAGTGTTACTACTGCCATGAGTTTGGTCACACCAAGCGCACATGTAAGAAGCTTTTGGCCCAAGACATCCGAGGAGTTCATCAGCGCACGTTGCCTTTACCTCAGATAGTACTGTTACTATACCCATAGAAGAATATGCTCGACTTTTAGGGACTGAGAATTCCACTGCTCTGACTGTTGCATTTGCTGAGACCGGTTACTCTAGTACATGCCTATTTTCTTCTGCTTCCAAATGGGTCATTGATTCAAGTGCTTTAGATCACATGACAAGTAATCCCACCATCTTCTCTAATTTCAATAAACACAAATCCTCATCACATGTCACGATTGCTGACGGGTCTACCACATGTGTTCTTGGTTCTGGCACCATCGATCTTACCCTGCCTGTTTCGTTATCTTCCGTATTGAGCCTACCTAATTTCTCGTTCAATTATCAGTCAGCAAAATTACCCGTGCTTTAAATTGTTGCGTCTCATTCTATCCTGATTTCTGTCTCTTATAGGATCTGTCGACGAAGAGGATTACTGATAGAGGGTGGGAGACTGATGGCCTATACATATTTGAACATCAAGTACCTTCCTCATTGACTTGTTCCAGCTCATTGTCTCCACTTGAAGTTCATTGTCAATTAGGTCATCCATCTTTACAGAATCTGAAGAAGTTGTGTCCTGAGTTTTCTTATTTACCTTCTCTACAGTGCGAGTCTTGTCAGTTTGCCAAGCATCAGCGTATTCATTTAAGTCCTAGAGTCTGCAATAAGTGGGCCTCATCCCCATTTGAGTTAGTCCATTCTGATGTTTGGTGACCATGTCATGTTACTTTAGAACTTGGGTTGAAGTATTTTGTTACGTTTTGTTGATGGTTACTCTCGACTTCAAAAAAGGGTATAAGTGTTTTTCCCCCATGCTTAATCGATATATTGTATTACGAGACGTTACATTCCATGAGAATATACCCTTCTTTCCTATGTGCACTCCTTGCAACCCAAGAGATAGTGATGATTTATTGGTGTATACCATACCTATTCCTGAGTCTACTACCCCATCCGACTTGACACAGACCCAAGAGCCTACTAAACCACCGATAGTTCATGTATATAATAGGCGGCAACGACCTACATCAGATCTTGACCCAACACCATCTTCATCATCGTCTACAGATCCGCCTAACGATGATCCTCTTTCTTCGAGTGATCCACCACCTTCCGATACACAAGTTCCTGATCTTGATGTTCCCATTGCTCTTCGGAAAGGTAAGCGCTCATGTACTTAACCTATTTCTATAGTTGTTTTCTATGATAAACTTTCTTCACGTTCTTGTTCTTTGATCTCTAGACTTGATTCTTTATCTGTTCCTAAAACGGTTGGTGAAGCTTTGGCTTTCTTGGATGGCGGGATGCTATGATTGATGAGATGAATGCTCTCGATCATAATGATACATGGGAATTGGTAGAGTTACGTATAGGCAAAAAGGCAATTGGCTGTAAATGGGTATTCACTGTGAAAGTTAATCCAGATGGATTTATTGCTCGTCTGAAAGCCCGATTGGTAGCCAAAGGATATGCTCAGACTTATGGGGTCGACTACCACGAGACATTTTCTCATGTGGCTAAGGTACCTTCCATTCGCCTGTTTGTTTCATTAGCCGCTACTTACGACTGGGTACTACATCAACTAGATGTGAAAAATGCCTTCTTGCATGGTGATTTACATGAGGAAGTCTATATGGAGCAACCACTTGGGTTTGTTTTGTTGCTCAGGGAGAGTCTGGTAGAGTCTGTAAACTGCGCAAATCATTGTATGGTTTAAAGCAATCCCCTCATGCTTGGTTTGGACGGTTTAATGCCGTAGTGATTGTGTTTGGCTTAAGGAGGAGCTCTTATGATCATTTCGTGTTCTTTACTTCGTCATCTTCCAGATGTATTATACTAATCGTATACATTGATGACATTGTGATTACTGGGATCAAGAAGCTAAAAGATTTCCTTGCATCTCAGTTTCAAACAAAGGACCTAGGTTCTTTAAAATACTTCTTGGGAATTGAAGTATCTCGTACTCGGAAAGGGATATGTTTGTCTCAACGGAAATATTGTTTGGATATATTGAATGACTCTGATATGATTGAAACAAAACCTTGTGAGGTCCCAATGATTCCAAAAATGAAATTGAAAGCGGACGATGGAGATCTACTTGAGGATCCAGAAGAGTACAGAAGAATCGTGAGAAAGCTAAACTACCTGACGATTACACGTCCTGACATCGCTTTTCCAGTGAGTGTAGTAAGTCAGTCTATGTCATCTCCGAGAACTCCACATTGGGACGCTGTTAGGCATATACTGAAGTACCTAAAGGGTGCTCCTGCTCTTGGTTTCCTTTATCAAAATCACGGTCATCATGTCATAGAAGGGTTCACATATGCCGACTATAATGGGGATCGTACTACTAGGCGGTCTACAACAAGCTATTGTGTGTTGGTTGGAGGGAATCTAGTTTTGTGTAAAAGCAAGAAACAAAATGTCGTTTCCCGGTCCGGTGCTGAATTTAAATACAGGGCTATGGCCCAAACCACTTGCGAGCCGATATGGTTGCGTCATCTACTAGGTGAAACTGGGTTTGCTCAATCTAAACCAATTAACCTATATTATGATAATGAGGCGGCTATCCACATTGCAAACAATCCCGTGTTTCATGAAAGAACAAAACACATCGAGGTTTACTGCCATTTCACTCATGAAAAGCTAGAAGATGGAATCATCTCAACTCCCTTTGTTCGAACAGGAGACAGCTTGCGGATGTCTTTACCAAAGCATCTAGTTCGCGAATCTCTTTTATTTGTAACAAGCTGGGCGCGATTAACATCTATGCTCCAGCTTGAGGGGGAGTGTTAAGATACTCAATATCCTTGAAGATACTCAATATCCTTGAAGATACTCGATATCATTGTAAAATAGGAATTGGAGATTATGGGTAATATCTCCTTGTAATTTGCTGCTGTGAATATCTTAGGAATCATTTCCTTTTCTTCTCATATTCTATGTGTATATATAGCCTTTGTACCTCCCTCTTTTGAGACAAGTGAAATAAACAAAAAATTCTACACAAACAAAGGTAAAACCTTACTCAAGAGAAGGAAGAAGGAAAGTATCTTGAACAAAACCCTAACCGATCTTGAATCAATAAAATCATACCGGGAGCTTGAATCGTCTTGGGGGAATAATCTTTTAGAGGGGTTTGAATCGTCGTCTGATAAGAGCGATGAGAGTGGGTTGGTTTCTGGTTCATGGTTTGATTTAAATCCAAAACCAATTTCGAATAAAAGACCTAAATTCAAGGAAAAATAAAAACCCAAACCGAATTCAAACGAAGGTAAAACCTTACTCGAGAGAAGGAAGAAGGAAATTACCTTGAATAGAACCCTAACCGATCTTGAATCAATAAAATCATACTAGGAGCTTGAATCGTCAAATAATCTTTTTGGAGGAGTTTGAATCGTCATCTGATAAGAGCGATGAGAGTGTCTTGAGCGGTTGAAATTTGAATCGTCGTATGATGAGAGCGTGGGATGTTGGTATTGGGAATTGGAATTCTAAAGGGTAGTATTGATAAATTGTATATCAAGCATATCAGGTTGTAATTAAGAGATTTTCAAAAAGTAGGCTTAAAAATGTTGTACTTTAAGCTTCACATGCTGTATTTAAGAGATTTAAAGACAGTACTTGTTGCTTAAAAACTTGTTTTTAAAACCTATGTTGTTACAATGGTCAAAGTTTGAAATCGCGGTTGATTTGAAATAGCGGTTGTCGAGATGGTATAGCGGTCTAAAAATAGCGGTTTATATAACTATTAGAATTGTATGTATATATATGTATGTATGTATGAATACATAGCATATTATATGTGTTCATTAAAAATATTGTTTCAAGATCAAGACCTTAACTTAAACAAGCAAGTTTCACACAAACAAAATAGGAAAAGTAGGTTTGCAACTAGAATTGTATCGATTGCAGAACAAAGGACGAGAGGAACACCGATTGGCGAGGTTTATGATCTGGAACACGTTGTTTGGTCACGTAAATCAACGATTCATAACCTAATTTGGTCTAAACTAAATAACTACAGCCCCAAAAAAAAGCCCAAAAACCTGAAAAAACCCAAAGTTGAATAAGCCCAACAATTATAAGCCGAAGTTTAACTAAGCCCAAAAAGCTAAAAATCCTCAAGATGCAAATCGCAGTATTTTCACCGCTATACCACCCAGAAATTGTGGTCGCATAGCGGTAGTTAGCGCCGACATTTGCGGCACCGCGATTTGAGGCCGTAAATTTCTTTTACCACCGCGAACCGCAATACCGCCGCTATAGCAGTGCGATTAACAACATGGTTTAAGACACTGGCAAATATGCTTTATAAGGTAGCATAGATTATTTGAAGACTTGTTCTTCTTTATGCAACATTGATGTGCATCTCTCTTACATTTGTATCATTAATAGACAGGATATACTTCCATGCACAAGGGATGCCACATGTCCTAAATGTAAGTGGTTTCTACTTCAGCATACATCTTTGAATTTCTCTTACTATTATTCAAGTTGTAGATGCATGTCCCTCTTTCCGTTTATCGACCCACCATTAAAAAGATGTTTAAGCTTCCTTGCAACACTTAGAATGCAATATCAAAATCTCATTTCTGACCTTTAATTCAAGTTCCATGTTATGAATAATATGCTTGAACCTAAAAATCTCTTTTACTAACCTCTATCAAAACAGCTTGGTACCTATCCATTTTGGTTGTTCATTAATGCGTTTATGGGTCTCATTCTCATATCGGTTTGATGTTTACTTGGTGCAAGGAGAAATGAAGTTGGGGCTAACAAGGAGAATGCAGAATTGAGGAAACACTGTACAAACAAATAGAACATGGTCCTTCTATGGTTAAATGACGATCACAAGCTTTTTATCCAAACCAGTAGGAGTGGTATAAGAATGTTACCCAGTGATTTATAAAGAAGTTGAATCCAATAGAAAATATAATGATGGGAACCCCTGGCTAGAATATTTGACTGTTACCAATAATAATTACCAAGTGCGGATCATGGTCTATTAATCAAGTTTTAACTTCGAAGCATAAGGTGCATGATTTTAGATTCTTCTCCTTGATTCTTATTATCATACCTCAAGAACCTCCATATCTACCACCATGACCATTAAGATCTCCTTCGAATATCTTACTGCTATTCATTTCCCCAAAGCAATTACTGCTAGGTCCTCGCATTATCTTTTCAAGACTTCTTAAATAAGACCTAACGAGCATGTGCAATGACATTTATTACCACTTAACCACGGCTGATAGGAGTTCATGTCCTTTTCTTTTTACTCCATAGATTCTTATGGCGATATAAGTTACTATGTTGATATTAATGCTATTACATGATTTATGACAGATGGATGTTCCTTACATGTTAACAGTGGCGGAGATAATTTGAGGGTAAATGAAAACAATGTTGAAGTTCTTTATGAAGGAGATGCCTCATTTGATGGCAGTGCAGGAAGTTTTCATAGAAGCACTAATAATTGGGGACTTAGTAGCACCGGGGACTTCCTGGATGACTATATTCAAACAAACCGATATGTAGAATCTTTGCAGGGAACGAACTTAACTTCTCTTTACACAACAGCCCGTCTCTGTCCACTATCTCTTACTTATATCAGCTATTGTTTGGAAAATGGGGATTACATTGTTAATCTGCACTTTGCTGAAATACAATATACTAATGACAGTACCTACCTAAATCTTGGCAGGCGGATATTTGATATCTATATCCAGGTGACAATCAGATAACTATAATTATTTTTTATGTACGTTGCACTTGGTTACAGAATTGCTAGCTGATCTATGTAATTCAGGGACAATGTGTTAAAAGGGACTTCAATATTGAAGATGAGGTTGGGATAAGAAGGCCGGTTGTATTACCCTTCAATGCTAGTGTCATAAATAACACCCTAGAGATACGCTTTTACTGGGCTGGTAAAGGGACAACACGTTTACCCAAGAGAGGACGTTATGGGCCCCTCATATCAGCTATATCCATTAACCCATGTGAGTATCCTAGATGTTTAGGGAATGGAAGAGTTATACTATAAATTTCTTGCTATAACAGCTATTTATACAAATATGATTTTATCATGTTTGTAACACACTTGCATTACCAGTAACAATTATGGAAAGCCTCAAAATCATCAAATTTATTAGTGTTCTGGTTCTAAAAGTCTACACAATTTTACATATGTCAATATTTTATGGTATTATTTAAATGATGTTCAATGAAACATTTTGGAAACGTGTTTCTTTATGTCATTTACGATATATGAAGATTCATCATCATGCTATTTATGATAGACTTTTGTCTGTTAACTTTCTTGTGTGAACTATTTACTCATGCTTATTAGCAAACTCTTCTGGGCAGATTCTAAGAAATGTGCAATTGGAGGGAAGACAAAGAAGACAAACAAAATTGCTTATGCTGGTTTTGCACTGGTGGGATTGTGTCTTCTGTTCATAATCTCGGCTGTCCTATGGTGGAAAAGGTGTTCAGAAGACAGAAAAAGGAATGATAAAGGTATGACTTGGTCGAATTCATTTATTTCTTATGCGTATATGCAATAGAATCTCTGAAGTTCTATAGCCCTATTTGTTATATTTTGTTTCTATTTCTGTTATTGGCTTTTATTGGTAGGTGGCAAACTTATATGGCTATCATATGGGAATGCCACATACTTGTGAACTCTAACCAAACACCTCTGTTGCTCACTACCTAGGAAGTGCATGTCCATTATATTTTGAGCTAACAAAAGAGGATCACCGATAAGCTGAATAATTTCGGCTCAAATTGATCAACTGAGACCAGCAATTCACCAGCAATGACCAATATTCTCATTGTTGAAAATTTCATTGAATAAGAAAGGAAACACCATATTAAGGAACAGATGGGGGAGAGAGAATTTGGTATTTCATTTTCTGTATCTTTTTCTTCTTACATCACTCAACTAACAGCTGCATTTCACTTTCTACAACAAGATTCTATCAGCTGAAGTTAAGGGCATATTTCTAATTAAATAACAACTCAACAGAAGGAAAATAACAGACCAGCTGCCCTACTTTAATTGAATTGGCCCTTGGCCTGGACTGATGCTGCAAACATTTGGGCATACTTCTTGGGTCATACCAGCACCCCCTTCTTCAGTTAATCCTTGGCCTCCAGGATTAAAAGTTGGGAATTGCTGCTCAATTTTCTCTGCAGATTCTCAAGTGGCCAACTCGGTTGATTTTCCATATAGTTAGCTACTCTATTGCAGCATAATTATGCTTTTTAACCATTCTCTTCAATCAAGGCTTTAGTTCCCTGGCTTCAATGACATGTCTTGGGGATGGTAGCTGTTGATAGTAGTAGGGAGGGTACCATTGTGCTTCTTGAACATTGACACATAGAAAGTTGGATGGGTTTTTGCTCTAATATCTTCTTAACTAGTTTTCCAGTTCAGTTGATCATCAGTTGGACGAAGATTTCAGAACTGACTTCTGTAACAGTTGCCTTAGCTGATACTCCACTAACAGTTGCCTTAGCTGATACTCCACTAACAGTTGCCTTAGCTGATACTCCACTAACAGTTGCTGCCACCTTTAAAACCGGAGCGGCTGCTGATATCCACAAATCTCATTGGAGTTCCAGGCCAAGTGAGCACTGCCTTTACCTTCATGAATTAAATAGGCTTTCGTCACACCTCGTCATAACTTCTTCGCTATCCAATTAAACCTTGTCGCCATCGGAGGTTCAGGATTTCTACTATTTCCAGCCTCAATCCAACATCGTCATCAGTCCTGAAAATTCAGCCAGATGATAGGAGGCATCCTAATTTCTTTTCTTTGTCAGCTTTTAGTCTATTTGAGCTTTCTCAGTTGAATTTTTTTTATCAGTATTTTTCTTTTCAAGTCGGGAATGGATGATATTCATTTTCCCTCAGTAACATACATATCTTTTGAAACTTGCAACTACAAATGAAAAAATTGACTCCCTGTTAGGAATGGAGGGAGTATAGTGTTGAAAGGTGCAACATATTAGATGAAGCCCTTTATGAAGTTGTGAATCTTTGTTCATGTAAATGATCTGTTGTTTACTGTTTTGAACAGATTTTGAAGGGCTGGAGTTCAAAACAACATCTTTTTCCTTTAAACAACTAAAAACTGCTACATGCAACTTCAATGCTACAAGCAAAATAGGAGAAGGTGGCTTCGGACCAGTTTTCAAGGTAACAATCTAGTACAACGTGGTGGATTGTGTGAGGTCATGTTATTGTTTATGACATGTGTATGAAATCTAAATTAAGTTACGTGATGCAGGGTACATTACGTGATGGCACAATAATTGCTGTGAAGCAGCTTTCCTCTCGTTCGAGGCAAGGAAATCGTGAATTTTTAAACGAGATTGGTATGATATCTTGTTTACAACACCCAAATCTCGTGAAGCTTCATGGATGCTGTATGGAAGGAGATCAACTATTGCTCGTATATGAGTACCTGGAAAATAATAGCCTCGCAAATGTTCTATTTGGTGAGCGTTTAATTCTCTTCTTACTCAGCTCTTTTTTTTTTAAAATGGGAAAGGATCGACTTGCGGTGTTTACTATTTGTTTCTCAAATTTGACGTGGATATTGTTGTAGATATATACCAGAAAATATAAACGTTTATTTGGTGAGCAATTTAAACCGCAATCCCTCTTTTCCTCCACTATTATCTTCTCCTCCACCTCCCTCAACATTATTCTCCTCTGCCTCAACATTCAAGTTCATTTCAGATAACTAATTTTGTTCTCTTCATTTCTTAAATAGTTAATTGATTATGGATGGAGAAACTTTTACTGCCGATCTCTGCCCATAACGTTCAGTGTTCAAATTAATTGATGGTTTTTTAAGTTAAATAATTATCAATGGAATTCTTTTTTCTACCGCAGTTCAGTTTTAAAATTTAAGTTAATTTTTCTATCCATTACTTACTGCCTATGCTGTTAATTGCGGCGATATCTAGGATAGCTGACTTTAGCAAAATAACGGTGGTCAGATTGCGGTTTAAATTGCGGTAGCGCAATTATCGGCACAATTTACCGCAATTTTGACCAATATTTAGGGTCAATTGCGTTCGATATTAACATTACTTTTTTTTTTGGGGGGGGGGGGGTTTGGGTCTTATTTTGTCACTGTTTTAGTTAGTTGGGCTTTATTTCCAGTCTTTCTGTTTTTGGGCTTTATTTTTCTTAAGTTTAATCCATTAACATAAGTTGGAAGAACTAGGTTTCTCTATTGACAACCTGTTTTAGTCTTTAGACTATCTGTTCTTTTGGGCCCTGTTCGGTGATCTCATCTGCTTTAGACGAACACGACCCACGAGTCTCAGGCTCTCAGCTTCTGTTCCAGACTTCCAGCTTCTAGCTTCTGTTTCCAACTTCTATATCCAGCTTCTGTCTCTAGGTACCATGAGTCTGAATTCTTAATCTTGGTTGATGAGAAAATCGAAGTAGATTGGTCAATTAAACTCCCTCTGCTCCAGCTTCTGCTCCCTCTGTTTTTCTGCCCCAATCTCCAACTTCTGAGAACTTTTATTCTTGTTTTGACTTTGAACTTAGTACCTAGAACTTGTTTAATTATTCTTGTTTGCTCCAGCGTCTGTTTGGTTTGTTGTTAGTCACTTACTTGTTAGGACTTAGCTTTGTTAGGGCTTAGCTAAAGGAACTAATGGAAAGTAGAGAAGGGGGTCAATCTTCAAGAGCGTCTGTGACTCCGAATACTACTACTACTACTACTACTACTTCATCAAATACGGGTACAAAATGCGTCAATGGTGATATGGCTTGGAAATGGGGGGTACGGGATGATCCAACCAAAAAGAATAATGTATGGTGTACTTTATGCGGTAAAAAAGTAAGTGCAGGGATCACTAGATTGAAAGAACATCTTACTCACACCGGAGGTAATGTGGTTGGTTGTCCTAATGTGACTAATGACATCAAGAAAAGAGTTCTTGAATCGATGAAAGAAAAGGATAAGCAAAAGCAAGAAAGAAATAGAAGAGTAGAAGTTCACGTTGGAGATGAAGGGGGACATGTGGAAGAGTGGGAAAGTAGCCTAAACGAAGAAGTGAACGTATCAGATGATGTTGACTAAGACGCTGAACCTATTGCTTGCGATTAGCTCGTTTATGAACACTTCTCCTATTTTGCAAATGATATGTTTTTGTAGCATATTATATATATAATTATATATAGTTCTAAGAAATATTATATGAACCGCTATTTTTGGACTGCTGTACCACCTGCTATTTCAAATATCGGTCCCGACTGCAATTTTGTATTTTCACCGCTATAACAGCATAGCTTACTGCATTGAGAATCAATCTTTCAGAATTTAAGATAACTCTGATGACTACTGGAACCAATATCCCTTCATCACTCTGAGTTCCTTGGATGAAGAAATGCAAAAGTGTATCGGCCATGTTAGAAGGATAAGTGTGAAAAACAATTTTGGGCCAATGTCAATTGATGGCAAAGAAACAACATAGTAAAATCACTGGAGCTACTGGAATTAGTTTCATACCGCTAAATAACAGAGTAAAATGACTAATATTTTTATTATTAGAAAAAGAATTGTAGGTATACCTGTGGGTATAGGTACTGGGTAATAGAATTTTGTGCCCAAAAGATCCAGGTACTTTGTTTCAGTATCCATTGTACTCGCAACTATACCCATGGATACCAGTAAGTGTATCCATTGCCATGTCTAGTACCAGGAATATGATTTTGTTTGTTTCTCTGAAACAAAGGGAGCAATTGTTTGTTTACCATTGTTTACCAGTTTGTGATTCACTGTTTCTCTCTTGCATTTCGTCGCCCTGAAAGAAGTCACTCTTAAAGAGCCCATCCTACTGAAGTATCAGCAAGGACCTTTTTCTTTCTCTCATCTGATTTCTTGTTCTCTGTTTTATTGCTTTATTCATTATTATTCACAAGATTTCACATATTGCAGATTCGAATCAAAGTCGATTACTGTTGGATTGGCCAACAAGGTTTAAGATTTGTGTTGGTATTGCTAGAGGATTAGCTTTTCTTCATGAAGAATCGAGGCTCAAAATTGTACATAGGGACATCAAAGCTACTAATGTCCTGCTTGATAAAGATCTCAATCCTAAAATATCGGACTTTGGATTGGCTAGGCTACATGAGGATGAGAACACTCACGTCAGCACACGAGTGGCCGGAACAATGTAATTCTTATTGTTTTTTTAAAAGATCAAGTATTTTTTTGTAAAAAGATGGTGCATTTCAATCTCAACATGGATGCAACATCTTCCATTTTTTTTCTTGCTTGGAAACCCTTGACATGGTTCTTCAATCTTGAGAAAATTGCAGAGGATACATGGCACCGGAATATGCACTTTGGGGTCACCTGAGTGATAAGGCAGATGTATACAGCTTTGGAGTCGTGGCTTTGGAAATCGTGAGTGGCAAGAACAACAACAGATTCATACCAAATAACGACAGCGTTTGTCTTCTAGATTGGGTACTATTTCATATCCTTAGCTAGGTTCACTCGTACTATATATCTTTCTTTCTGACAATCGTTCTGTTCTTGAATTGATTCATTTATTATATGAGGAGATATACAGCAAATAAATGTCATTGTGGCTCATCAGGTTTTACAACTGTGCACACGTGGAAACAATCTAGTTGCTCAATTTTACTATTGACATTATTATCCTTCCCAAGCATTATATCTCAATGTCGAGAATCATCCCAGCGGCCAAAGTTTTGATCTTTCTTGTACGAAACATCTATCCTAGATGTGTTGACACAAACGTTTGGAGGAAATTTAACATCCTTGGGAGAGAGTTGACACATCGCAAGATCCAAGAACAGACCCTCAAGTTGAAACTTGTTTAACATTGATCTACCCATTGTTGAACCAAGTGATGTGTGGACAATTTTGGCAAGACTGCTAAATCCTCAATACTTTGGAAAGCAAGCAGTCAATTCAATAACATTGATATGAGGGAATATTTTTTCTGTGGTACACTAATAGTGAGGTGGTTACTCATTCAAGTGATGGTTGCCATTAATCCACAGGTTCAACATGACCGTCGATCCACTTTTCTCTATACATGACCATTTGGTCTGTTACACCATATAAACCCTCACCCAAAACCACAAGAAAAGAACTACACGTGGAACTCTATAAACCCTCACCCGAAACCACTCCATCAGAGCTTAAGAACAATTGAAAATTTACTTACCAACACCTTTTTCACTTTGCATATTTAGATCTATGGTTAGATTTAGGGGTGTGTATAGAGGGCGAGATAGGGACAGGGGTGGCTAGTCTTGGTTTTTCCTACCTTTTTTTTTCTACTGTTGTATTTACCTGTGTGACTTGTTGGCTTACACTAGTCTTAGCGTTTAGCTTTTCTTCCTGTATTGGTAGTTGTCAGTATTGTGCTTTGTGTTTCCTTGTTTGTTTAACGTATTTTCCTCCCATACGTCCCAGATGCATTTTCTGTTTATTGTACTCTTTGCTTCTTGCCCACACTCTCACCTGTAGCCTGCTTGCTCTAACTTCTATCTTGCAAGCTCCCCCNACCCCCTGACCCTACATCTTTGTGGGATTTACTGGGTTGGTTTGGTTGTAAAACAATATTGATATGTTGCAGGCTTGTCGTCTGCAAAATAATAAACACTACGAGGAGATATTTGACGAGAGGCTGGAGTCGAAAATCAACAGAGAAGAAGCAGAAATCATGGTTAAAGTGGCACTAATGTGCACAAATGGATCTCCTTCAATGAGACCTAGTATGTCCGAGGTAGTGAGTATGTTGGAAGGCAGAACATGCATCAGCGACATCGAACCAGAAGTAAGCCACTATTTTGAAGATTTGAGATTCAAATCAATGGGAGGCGGCCATCCGACTCAAAGTAGCCTTGAAACTCAATATTCTGCTACTATTCAGAGCGAATCATGTCTATCTCCAAGCGATCATTCTGAAATTGTATCAGGCGAGCCAAGATCATACTGAAGGAAACTCAACTTCATCTAGTGTTCGTCTCTGAGTCGCAAAACCGACCTGTGTGTAAAAAAGCAAGAAAATGTGCAATTTTTGCTGAAATTTGTAAATTTAGAGTAATGTTAACTTCATTGTACCTATTAGTGTTACTATATAGAGTTGTGCATATCATGGTCTCTAAGGAAAGAAAAGGTATATGGAAGGAAAACCCATCATCAATATGATCACTTCAATCCCTTTCAGGGACGTTGTAGGTTTTTTTGGCTGTTAATTCAGGTTCCATGGGATTTGTGCAAGCTGGTTTGGATGCCTACAGTTATGAAAAACACCGAAGATGCAATGCACGAGTGGACACAAATGTTGTGAACAAGGTCTTCAGAATCGGTTCGGTTGTGAATTTAAATTACGACCCCGGTCGGTGTAAGCTTTGTATCAATGACATTTTATCGTGATTTTAATCTTTTTGAAGGCTATTTGATCATATACTTGTGTATCAATGAATGATATTTTGTCATGGTTTTTCTATTTCTTTAAAGGTTTGATTGGTTATTTGTGTATCATTGACATTGTTATCATTTTGTTATTTGTTTTAGGATTAAGATGTCATAAATGGTAGTATATCTCAATCACCTTCTAAAATTGTTATTAGTCTAAGATGTCATTTTGTAAATTGTTGTCATAAAAGTCTGTTATAATTCTAAATATATATATAATTATAAAGAAAATAATCATAAAATATGTAATTTATCAGTTATAATTTAAAATGTATAATTATAAAGAAAATAATCATATTTTAAAGTGATGTCATAGTTATTCACAAGATGAACTTTCTACAAAATCTGTTGTAAATAAAACTTATGTCCCAAGTTCAAATCTTGAAAAGAAAATATCAAAACTTGAGAAAGATTTTGAAAATCAAAGAAGGTTGTTTGAAGATGAAAGAAGTTAGTCTTCGAACAAGATCAAAGAACTTGAAGAAACTGTTAAATTTCAAGTTTAAAGAATCTGTTAAAACAAATGAGATTTTATCAGATGATGTTTCAGAGAATTCGTCTTGTAAAGCTTTCATGAGGAATTTTTTATAGTACTTCAAAAGACTTCAATATCAACAGATGATTTTGTGGAAAATGTGATAGATTGTTTTAATGGATGAAAAAGTTTGTTTGGATAATGAAGCTGCTTGTTTTGAAAAGAAGATATATATGATTTTTAGACACTTGCTGAAAATGAAAGAAATCAGTTTTCAACAAAATTAAGGAATTTGAAGATGTAATCAAATCCTAAGGTAAAGAAACTTCCGAACCAAGTGTGCCAGTATATGATAATATTATAACTGATTCTGAAGCTTCTACCTGTAAAGAGTTCATTGGAAATATATCTTCAAATGAGATTGTAAAATCTGAAACTGAAAAGGAGTTTGATGACTTGATGAATGCTGAGATAAGTTTGAATGAAGAAACTGATTGTTTTGATTTTTCTAAAAACTCAAGGATCCTATTTGTGTTGATTCTAAAGGCAAATGTAAAGAAAACTCCGGTTAAGATTTACAAAGGTGAATCTTTTAATAGTGTTTCTCAAAATGTTCCTGATAATACCCTATTATTCTTCAAAGATATGAAAGAGGTATTCTAAACAAAAACCCGAAAAGTTTTCAAAATGGCATGTTGATCATTCTAGCTCTTCTGATTCTGCTTTTTCTGATATTTCATATCATCACGTGAAAAATGTTAAACGAATTTAGAGAGTTAAGAAGTCTTCTGAAGGAGTAGAGAGTCGAAACTCATTTGATTCTTGTTCGATGTAAAGAAAAACAAATTTCTTCGTGATGTAAATTATGTTGCTACTTTTCATAAAATTGATGTTGAATTTTCATCTATGATGTATTAAATAAAACAATTGATCAAATTGTACAAGAAAAAGCTTGTTGTTCTATATGTGGAGTGAATGATTTTGTACTTAAAAATAATGTTCTGAATTGGCATGGAACATACATAATCCCTTCAAATAGAGCAACTACATCTAACAAGGAAGGACCCATTTTCGGATGGGTACCTAAAACCGCGTAATCTGTTTTGCAGGTCGGTCATGAGTGTGATAACCAGATTGCGGTTATATAAGTTGGGGTGGTTTGAAAGATTTTAGGTAAGTAATTATTTTATTTGTGTTTTGTAATATTTGATTAATTGCATATTATATGTTCTCCACTTATGGCATATATATATATATATATATATATATATATATATATATATATATATAAATATATATATAGTTTGTTTCAAATACAACCAATCGTATTTGTACAATCAATCGTATTTGTACAACCAATGCAACCCAATAAATTGAGATATTTATGGAAATGATGAGAGTTCATTTATTAATATTTGAATATTTATAGAAGATATATATTGTTCATTAATTATTATCAATACTTTATATTAGGAAACAATCAAAACTTCTATGAAATCACATATCAATCAAATGAAATGGACGGTTGAGATTGGGTTGTATTGGTTGCATAAATGTCAAGGGTTGTATAATAACCAACCACTCTCTCTCTCTCTCTCTCTTTCTATATATATATATATATATATATATATAGAGAGAGAGAGAGAGAGAGAGAGAAGGGGGGGGGGGTAAGATCAAATGTTAACCAAAGCTTTTGTGTTAACTTTACAAACCATTTCAACCAATCACAATCCATGTTTATATTAGGTTTTTATCTAGCTTACAATTTAATGCCAAGGGTAGTTGAGTATTCATTTTTAATGCAACTCTCATATCATTAATTGAGAGTTACAAAATCATAAAATGCCTAAAACTGTGCATTTTTAATATTGATCTTCCATTTTATTGTTTTATGAGTTTGTGATTCTTGGAGAAAACACGGTAGTAAAATCTTCGGTATCGTTCAAGCTATTATGGATAAACGCATTTGAAAAGAACTTGACAACATGGAGAAGATTAAAGTGGTTTATGGTGACAATCGGAGTTTGAGTGCAGGAAGTGAAGAAAATAACCAAAGCGAATGTCTTGGTAATGGATTAATATTTTATTGTAGTTGTTTTAATCGAAATAATGTTCATTATGATGTGTTGTGGTTTTTGTAGTTCATATTGTGTTGGTAGATTTTTCTTTAATTATTATTACGTACCTAATTCACATGTTCAAATGGAATTCCTTGCACGACCCATTTTTATATGGTCATATAACCGACTTTTATGAATCATGAACCATTGTGTTCATGTTACTACTCTCATTTGAGTATATATAACACTTCATGAACGAAATTTTGTGTCATATGAACACAAGTGTCATTTTTGAAGCTTGATCCCAAATCTTTATATTTGTATAAGTGCTTGCACCTGGTGTTCATATATGTCAAATTGTTTAAGTAATTGCACCCGATGTTCATAGTATCGGGGTTATGTGTTCATATATTTTCTACGATATTCTCTTCCTATATGGCTTGATCATGTTCACAATTGTATATTGACGTATATGTGCATGTGTGTTCACATGTTACAAATGTACGTGTATGTGAACATGTGTTCCTATAATGTTTTTGAATTTGTGATTGGTAGAGGAGATCCGGTAGTAAAGTTTTCGGTATCGTTCAAGCTATTATGGATAAACCCATTGTTCATATTATGTTCATATGTACATTAGCTGCATATCTCAACATTGGCTCGCTCTTGAATCTGTTCATAATGAAAGAACTATTGTTCACAAACTATTCATATTGTGTTCATATGTACACTAGCTGCATATCTCAACATTGACTCGTTCCTGAATCTGTTCATATTCAAATACGTGAGGTTTACAATGTTTTGATGAATATGTTATAACACTTTTGGTAGTTAATGTGTTATATGAGAATAGTTCTAAGTTATACCCTTTTCTGTTATGTATTTCATCGCACAAAGAATGGTCAGGTAAGGACCCTTATCGTACATAGTACTGTCCGATGAGGACCCTTAATCGTACATAGTGCTGTTCGATAAGAACTTCTATAGTTCAAGGCATCATCCGGATTGGGTGTTCATCGCCCAAAGTCTTGTCCGGATTGGGTGTTCATCGCCCAAAGCCTTGTGCGGATTGAGTGTTTATTGTTTATAGTTTTGTCCGGATTAGATGTTTATCGTTCATTATGTTGTCCGAATTGGGTGTTTCATCGCCCAAATGTTGTCCGATGAAGGTGTTTCATCGCCCAAGTGTTGTCCAGTGAGGGTGTTCTTCATCCAAGTGTTGACCGGGTGAGGATGTCTCATCGCTCATGTGTTGTCCGATGACAGTTATCGCCCATAATGTTGAAAATATTTTAATACCATTCCTGGCTAAAATATCAGATTTGATTATGTTTTATGAGGAAATAAGGCTGGCATATCAAGGAGAGTTATACCATGGGATAAGGGTGACATGTCAAGGAGAGGTGTACCATGGGATAAGGGTGACATGTCAAGGAGAAGTGTACCATGGGATAAGGGTGACAATTGTGGAATATGTGTTTTGATCATAACTTTTGTTGTCATATCCATGAGATGCAATAATTCAGAGTTATCATTTCTTTGTGATGTGAAGACTTGGAATTATTACTCTTATTGATATGATAACAATGATGTTATGTACAGGAGGAAAATGGCTTATAGCCAGAGGCTTTCATTACCTGTGTTTCGAATAAACAATGTATTTGGGTTACTGGATATTACATTTCAAACTGTTCAAAAGAGTAAAGATTTGATAAAGAACCCAGAGGGTTTTTGGTTATCATTAAAATCCATTTTCTTTTATGTTCAAATACTATTCTTATTTTTAAGCTTTATTCAATAACCAAGAGCTCTGGTTGATTGTATTTCTTTGTAAGATTTAAAAGTTGAGATTAGAAGCTCTAGTCCTTATGAGCCATAGAAGCTGTGGGTATTTCGTACCGAATAATATGAGAACCTGAGTGGTTATATTCCATGCATGGTAAGAAATGAATTTATAACTCACATTTTTGTTTATGATATTTGAGTTATATTTTATAAAAGTTGTTAGATATTCAAATATGATTTTATAACAGGTTTTGGTGATTTTCACCCTATAATTGCAAAGAAAGGGGATTTCTTAATAGACCTCAAGGTCCAACCCTCATTTTGTGTTTAAAAATATGCATTGTAGGTCAGACTTTATCAAGGGATAATGGGAAGGGGAAATTATGAAATTTTCATGTTATACTCACTTGATTTATGAAGAACAGTATGTTATCTGTTGGATTTTTGGAATACTGGTTTCTATACCAGTTATGTATAAGAATGTTATTTTGGAAATTTTTTGGTTGTAAATTTTGTAATATTTCTTCTTGTATTGTTGGCACCGAAGGTGTACTATTTGTATTTCTTGATATATGAAATACATGGTTATATGCAAATGTGGAACCTGGGGTGTTACATGTGTGGTACTTAGACGCTAGATGCTTTAAACATATGACTGGGTGACCAATTATGTTGATTAATATGGTGGAACAGTGCCGTT